CAATTAGCTGAAATCTGCGCCAATAGGCGTTGCATGCATTTCGTCACCGTGCCGTGGTTGGCCACGCGCGTTGCCCTTTGACTTTGAGATAAGTATAGCTAGCGTCCAAATCGATACGCCTGTTGGTTCATACGTCAACTGAGTTCACGGCCTATTTGGTTAATCAAGTGCCACCAATCCGTGTGTTCTCCCACGCGAATTTGTGACCAGTTTCTAGTGTGTGCATGGCCACCTGGTCTCATCTTCCAATCGCTAATTGATGTACGTGTATGCGGGTAGGGGTAGGTTCTTTTATAGCTTAACAGATGTAAACAATAAATTTTGGTCTGCAGCGTTCAATAGCCTAGGAATTTCCTTTTATATCGAGAAACTGTGAATTTTTCAACCTCTGTGCCTACTTTCCTTGGAAAATACTGATCTGAACTGACATACTTTTCTAGAAATCAGCATTTTGTGCCTCAGATTAATTCCATGAACAAAATAAACGAAGTCAACAAACAAAATGACGGTGACCTCAAAAGCCTCCGACCAGTAGGCACTCACATCCCCCGTCTGTATGGCCTACCAAAAATCCATAAGAATGGCCTGCCAGTTCGTCCGATTATGGACATGCGCAACGCACCGTATCATGCGATAGCGAAACTCAAACCTTTACGGCAGCAGCTGGCACCACGTAGCTATAGAGAAACGTTCGAATTTATGGACGACGTCAAAGACGTGAATCTAAGCGGCATGAGGATGCTCTCTCTAGACGTATCATCGCTGTTTACAAACGTCCCGGTTACCGAGACAGTAGATTACATTTGCCAATACCTGGTGACAAATCAGCTGGAAATAGGAATACCGACAAATGCACTGAATGAACTACTACTTAAATGCACATTAAACGTGCAGTTCCTTTTTGACAGCCAGCTATACAGACAAATAGACGGTGTTGCCATGGGCTCGCCTCTTGGACCTCTCCTAGCTGACATATTCATGGGCAAGCTGGAGAAATTTCAACTAAGTGAGCAGATCCACAAGCTAAAACACTATGGACGCAACGTTGATGATATCTTCGCGATCGCCGCAACCGAAACTGACGTAGACGCACT